TCGGATGATGTCGTTATTTTAGCATTCATATTACCATCAGTTTATTGGATCAAATGGCACATGCCACTGAACTTATGCTCACGACTAATGCCCTGCCTATCTTACAGCACTGACTTATCTCTGCTCTCTCTCTCTTTCTCTCCTCTTCTCTCTCTCTCTCTCTCTCTCTCTCTCTCTCCCACTCACCTAGAGGGCCCGAAGGGTCTGTTTCTTAGGTTTTCTGCCTGTTAAAAAGGCAGTTTTTTCCTTTGCCCTGCTACTTTTGGGTCTCTGGTAAATGTTAAAAGGAGTCGCTTAGCACCTGCCTCTATATTGAAAAGTGTCCTGAGCATAATTGTTGTTATGAAATTGGGGGGAGGCGGGGTGTCCGGCGCCGCGCGCGTATACAAATAAAACAATTTTTGATTTTATGCACCCTGACACTGCCCTGTATCTACATGCACTGATAGCTGCCCCTGATTAAATCACATGAAACTTCTGATTATTTTGTCATTACCCCTCAGTGAGACAGATTGAAGAGAGATATTCTTACTAGAGGAACACAAGGGCAAATATTTTACTTTAATGTTTGGCTGGAAGACGTCAATCAGGTTGCACTCCGCCTGTTTTGCTGTCCCAGCGTTGAAACCAAAGAAGGAGTAAAACTCTTCTTTCTTTTCCTCCTAAGAAGCGCCTTGTACGTCTCGCTCTACAACAGGGGATTGTTGGTTGCGTCCAGAATCGGGCCGCTGACCCGGGTACCCGGGCTTCTGTTTGCGTCCTTGGGTCAATCCATTTGTGGGTCATGGACTCCGTGGGGGCTTGGTCCAGCCTCAGCAAAGAAGCCCCGTTCCCCCAAGGGCCTGGGGCCGTTTCGCATAGTACCAAGCACCCCATCCAGCTCTGGCCCCGGAATCAATTAAACCGCCCCAGGCTCGTCCCCCTCTTGCACCCAAACCCACCGGCCATGAATCAGCCACCAGTCTTCTAATGCTTTCTCCCAACCGCGTCTCTCCAAACCCTCCCCAGGCTTCATCCTCAACCTGGGTCCAAACCCCCACCCCCCGCCTGCCAGCAGAAACTCCTCCTTCCATATGCAATGCGCGGGTGAGAAAGTGGACCCTGCGCGGGCCCTTCCCCTCAAGGTAGGCCCCGGCCAGGGTTGACCCCTCCGCTATCGTTTGTGGAGTCTCGGCAGCAAGGTGCGTTGATGTGGCTGAGTGGCAGAGTGGCGTACCTGGAGGGACGGCGCATGGGCTCTGTCCCCTACCTGCCCACCGGGTTGTCAGCAGGTTGGGAACACGCTTTACACTTGCGCTAGCTGGCTGGCCCGAATCTCTGACCAAATCGTCACTGCCGGTGTTGTGTCAAGGATGGTTCCGAACCCCGACCCCCCAAACCAGACCTGACAGCCCAGAAGAGCACCCAGTCCTTCTCCAGACTTCCCAGACTCTTACGGTCTGACCTAGACCATCTTTGCAGACCAACCAGTAACTGGAGTGTAACGGGTATGAAACTTTAACCTCACGTTATAGTGGGCCAAATTATCCACGGTTTTATATTATTTGGTTGTGATTGTTTTTTGAAAGGTGTGTTGCAATATGTTCAGAAAGCACTGATAGGCCTACACGAACGCTGGGAAATAGTTTCAAAAGTGAACAGTGTTCATTATATTGACAAAAACCTTATCAACAAGGCATCAAAATGTAACCAAACTATCTTCAATCAACTGTCCCTCAGCCATTCTATTTAGGGGGCGTAAAACCTATCCTATTCATCAATGCATTGCCAATATATTTTTTCCCGAATTTCAATATCGGATTCATTAAATCCTCTGGAATCGATTCAAGCCCCTGGGGCCGAGGGGTGTGGTGAGCCCAACACCTGTGGTTGCTGATTTGCTTTGTACGACGTTGGCCGGCACTCGACCAACAACAACAACAACATTGCAACCGAAAAAGCGACAGTTAAAACCCAGCGCCTTCAACTTAAAAGCAGGTTGTAAACCCGGACACAGGAAATAGACAGAATTAAGTCTAGTGTGCGTAAGCTGGTGCAGGCCAGAACTAGAACTAAAAAAAACATAAGCAATAACCAAACAAATTTGCACTACCACTTAAGCCACACGTTGCAGACCTTCTGCAGCAACCCGCGGCTGACTAGTGGGGTCGGCGATTGCCAAAGACAGGACGCAACCGGAGCGCACCACTCTCGTTCCTTTGCAGACTCCACGTGAAACTCTGCCGCCAGCACAGAAGATAACGGAGTCTGTGGCCGTTCTTCATCATGTAAGACCTCGTGCCGAGCCGACCCCAGTTGTGGCGGGCGCGAACGAAGCGGCGGCGACGCACGTTGTCTTCAGGGAGAACGTTGCGGGCAAGATGCGGCCCCGGCTGCGGGAAAGGCATCTTAAGCACCACGCGGCACGCGGTTTCGCCAGCACGTTGTAACTGCGAGCAGCCCGTGTCCGCATAATACATGATATTTGTGAAAAGAAAACGTAATGTATGCCCATCGGCATCTATTATTAACGGATCTTTATGCGTCCGGCGGTTCTTACCTTACACCTGGCTCGTTTAACTCGTTACCATCTCTACATACATGGAGCCAATTTAGTGTGACTTTTATGCATGGACAACCTCCGCGTCTGCTGGGCAGCTCTGGAGCCTCCAGTTGGCCTTCATGGTCGTCTTCATGTTGATGTTTAGCAGCTAGCGGGAGGTCACGTACACTGACAAGAAAGTGTTTCGCCCCGTGGCATCGGCTAACCTCCCACAGGCAATTGGAGCACATTTATCTATTTGTTACACTAAAATAAACCATATTATGCCAGCCATGAAAATTTGCCGGCAATTCAGAATAATTAATTCCCATAAACTCTTCCTCTAGCACTGTCAGAATGTTAACACGTAATTAAATACCTTTAACCCCAATTTGTAGCTTCGTAGAATGTGTGCTGTACAAAAAGTTGTCTCTTCGCCACATAAAGTTTAGTTTTAATAATATGTCTCTGTGAGAAAAATGTAATCTGGAAGTCAAAAAACTCATGACCCAATCCCCAAGCCCTTAACCATCACTAGATGCGTGCCACCAGATTAACTCCATGAATCACCAACAATACTGGTAAACTGCTCAGGCCTGAAAACCAGGATACTTACTATGGAATCTCTGCTCCGCATACCAGCAGAAGAGCCCAACCTAACCACCAACTCGCCCGATACAACCAAATCACGAGCCACGCCATCCCTCTCCCCTCAGTTACAAAACGTTCGAGGCCGACCGAACCCATCTTCAAAAAGACTCTCATATTTGGCTTAACTTATTCACTCAAGACCTTTTTTGTTTCACTTCTGCCGCTGCGGATTGCAAATGGTCTGTGGACCTAGGTCTGTGTGTTTTGGAGAGATTGGTACCACTGGAGGGGTCCTACACCTAGAGCTGTAAACTTCATGGTACTGGTCTGGTTTCCATATCCCTCTCCACCATTACTGAGAACTGCTCACGCCAACTTAATATGATTTAGTCCCAACACAGTTGAACCCTAGGTACAGTTCACACCTGTCCATAAAACTCTTCACTTCTATCTGATCAGCACTGCCTAGTTTTGACGTCTTGATCTGAGTTGGTGTGTTAGAGCTGGACAGGATCTATATATGATGAATGGGCTGTCAATCACAAGGTAGCCACCGCGCCCTGACCCCCAGAGCATTGTCTATTTTTAAACTTTCCGTTGTTAATGAATTATCAGGGAAAAAACCACTAAAATCATCCTCAACAAGCATCGCAGTTTTAAACTGCTGTGAAATTGTTGTTGTTGGTCCTCCTGCAGCTCCCTCCGTCAGCTTCAGAACCTCACCGCAGGAGGAAGGCCGGAGGAGCGGAGCTAACCTTGTCACTTATGTTTCACAGAACGGTTTACCCTGGTATCTCTCTCTCTCTCTTTCCCCCCCAACTGGTAGAGGCAGATGACCACCCACCTAGAGCCGAAGGGTCTGTCCTAGGTTTCTGCCTGGTAAAACTTCTGGTTTTATAGTGGGGTATATAGGGTATTAACTTACAGGTAGGGTATATAGTGGGGTATATAGGGCATTAACTTACAGGTAGGGTTTATAGTTGGGTATAAAGGGTATTAACTTACAGGTAGGGTATATAGTGGGGTATATAGGGCATTAACTTACAGGTAGGATTTATAGTTAGGTATAAAGGGTATTAACTTACAGGTAGGGTATACAGGGAGGTTCCACCTCAGCCAGAGCAGCTCTGTAGGCTCTGAAAGATGACGAGCTGTCAATCAAAGAGCTGTACTCCTCCAGAGCCTAAAAACATACAACACACTTTAAAACCTGTGACTCATTAACATATTAATTAAAGAGTATTGATTAATTATTACGACACAGACCTCAGCTGTGCTCCTCTGCCAGTCCAGACGCCGCAGGGGGGCGGAGTCCAGCGCTGACAGGATGGACAGGTACGAATTAAAGTTGTTCAGTTTGCGCAGGTGCTGCAGGGACACACAGGAAGTTACTGACAGGTACAGTTATACACACCTACAAATGTTAGTGAGCTATGATGCTAATATCCTCTAATAACAGTGACTGCAGTGAACCGTTACCTGTTGCACACCTGAGTTAAAGCTGCTTTCATTGTACAGACACTCACTTACTAACTGCTGTTTACCTTCATGACCTTCAGGAACTTCAGCAGCAGTTTCTCTCTGTCCTGAGGTTTGTCCTGAAGAATGATGACAGAACGAACCCTGAAACACACAACCACACATTCATACATTCATATAGTCACACATTTATATAGTCACACATTCATACATTCACACATTCAAACATTCACACATTCAAACATTTATACATTCACACATTCATACATTCAAACATTCAAACATTCACACATTCAAACATTCAAAAATTCATACATTCACACATTCATACATTCATACATTCAAACATTCATACATTCAAACATTCACACATTAACACATTCATACATTCAAAAATTCATACATTCACACATTCACATTCATACATTCATACATGTGATTATTAAGGTGATGAAATAAAATGTGAGTTTTCATATTTAGGACCTCAGTGCTGATGAAGGGTCGAACGGCTTCGTCCAATTATTTCTGTACAACCAATAATCTGACGTTCACGCCCACCTCGCTCAGTGTTTGGTCAGCTGTGTGAAAGTGGGCGGGATCTATTTTTTCATTCATTACACAGAGAACGGTTTCACTTTGACTGAGGTCAAGACTATAAGTGTCTTCCAGGAGAGTCTGGACATGTGTCCGTTATCAGAGACGACAAAGACACCCAGAGGAAGACTTTACAGCTGAAACTCTATAGATCAGCTCATAATTATTAATAGTTAATTGATTGATCTGTAACAGAGTGCTGTGTCAGTGTTTACCAGAAGGAGACATTGTTGAAGTGTTGGGTGAACTGTGTCATGTTAGGACTCTTTTCCTCATTCTGCTCTTTAGACCACAGCAAGACCTCTGGAAGCTAGACAGGTGAGAGACAGGTGAGACAGACAGGTGAGACAGACAGCCCCTTGTTGCTCTGTCCTACAATAACAATAACTTTTTTCTCCTTTTTCCCAAGATGCTAGCTAACTTGCTAACTAACGAGTGATGTAAATTAGCTAGCTAGTTAGCTAGCGCCTTGCTAACATTAGGTAACTTAAGATGTGACTATATATGGAGCTTTTCAACATAGATTAGCCTAGCACATAGCATATTTAAGTACAGGAAAGGCGGAAGTTGACTGAGGTTCTACTTGTTGACTTGTGAAGGGTTCACTGAGAGAGAAAAACAAGTGAAAGATGAAAGTTAAAATTTGTACCTCAATCTTGTAGAAGAGCTCAGAGTCCAGCAGAGTCAACTGTTCAGCTAAATCGTGACTCCTGAAGTCCAGAAGAGTTCCTGGTCTGAAAGAAGACAAAAGAGGAGACGTGTTGATGTCTGAATGAATGAAAGAACTGTCAATCAGCAAGAGGTCAGTGGTCAGAGGTTACCTGGCAGCCACGCCCCTTGCTGCGAGTGGGCGGAGTGACTGAGGAGAGCCAATCAACTGCCACCTCTGCTCCATCTTGGACAGAATGTTGGAGCGCAGCTGGTGGGCGGGTCCCAACTCTCCACCAATCAGGAGGCTGAACACCAGGTCCATCAGCAGCAGCAGCAAATCAGAGTCCAGCTCTATTGCACTGCGCACACAAACACATTATTATTCACACCTGGCCAAAAGTATATGGACATCTGAGCACTCCCTTCTGATTGGTTTAGATGTGTGTATCTCACCATAGCTCGTCAACCACTCTGACCAGCAGGTGTAAAGTCTTCTTGGCAGCTGTCAGGTCTGCAGGATCTCGTCCTTCACACAGTTTTCTGTACGTGATGATGGTTAAAGACTCACAACAAACTCAATCTGGACTGAAACTGTATCCACAGAACACCTGGACGAACTGATCCTTCCAACAGGTTACAAAAAATAGGTGAGAAAAAGAAAATCTGCAACATAAAGTATCATATCGTCTGCATATAAACACACTTTCTGAAATTTTTCTGGTCTGTGATCTTCTGTCAGTCTTTCTTCTCTGTAACCGAACTGAGAACTGATCACTGGTGCCACATTTCATCCATTAATGAGATTCTGTGTGTGTTCCTGTTGGATTCAGATCTACAGTAATCTGTAATCTGTGTCAGTGGTTTAAATCTTAATCTGTATTGTGCACACAGTGTGGAAATAATGTCCTGATACAGTTTGATACCAGTTTCTGTCTCAGAGGATATCTATGCTGCAGTTTGGTGATGACATCATCCGGGCAGATGAAGCTCCGGTAGGTCGAGAGGAAGGCCTCGCGGTACATACCCTGTTCTGCACACACACACATTTTATTGTTTATTGTTACATCCATGTAGAGACCAACCATCAACAGGCTAACAGGTCCCAGTAAAGTTCCACTGTGGATCCTATGGATTACATTAAGATTACATTACATACGCTTGTGAATGCAAGATAATGACGTTGTTGTGGCTGCAACTTAGTTATCTTAAAACTAAAATGTATTATCTGAAACCCACAAGTCTTAATCTTGTATCCGGTGGGAATCATATCGAGCACAATTGGAAGTGAAGGATGAGGACTTACCGTTGACGCTGTCATTCTCTGTTGCGTAGACCAACAGGATCTCAGGAGACGCTGCTTTCACGTCCGGACCGTCCTCCTCCTGAGACAGGCAGAGGTCATTGAGGAGACTGAATGAACAGTATTTAGCAGACAGGTCAGAGGTCAGGACTGTACCTCAGGTTTCATTGTGATTCTGTAGAGAATCTCCTGCTGGTTGGTCAGTAACACCTCCTCCTGCTCCTCCAGCTGCTCCCTGCTCCTCTGGCCATGCTCTGCCTCCTGCTGGAGATTCTGGGAACTGCAGACCAGAGCACCGTCACTGAGTCTGTGTTTGTGTATACAGGTGTGTGTTGATGTGTGTGTCTTTGTGTGTGTGTCACCTTTCTGTGGTCTGGTTCTCTTCATACTGACTGTCGGGTTCGACTGAATCCTGATGAGGACAAAACCAAAGATCAACAACTATAAAGTCTCAAACCCAAAAGTTAGTATCTGGAACAAATAAATGAGTCAATAAGTAATTAATAAGTTAGTCTCTTTTTCCAGTTTCCAGCTGACCTTTATGGAAATATCTGTGGAGTGTGAACAATCAATTAATTAATCAATTAATAAATCTGTAGAAACCTCAGGTCTTTACCTGTAGTCTCTTCTTCGGTGGTAGAATCGGAACAGGAGACAGCTCAGGTGAGGGGGCGGAGTCTGATGTGTGTGAGTCCAGGTTTGTTTCCAGGTGTGTTTCCAGGAGTGTGTGTGTGAGCTGGTAGGTGGTCTCGACCTCTCGCTGCCTGTTGCTGTACCGCTGACTGGAGGTCAAAGGTCGCGTGTAGAACGAAGCTGCTGACTGATCGCTGTACGACGAACAGTACTGGAGGTACTGTTGAACTGAACGCAGACAGACAGGTGGAGAGAGAGAGAGTTACCTCACCTGTTCTTTGAACTTTGAACTTTGAGGAATGTGTTATTCCTTATTCCTATTAGAATAAACTGCACACAGAGAGAAACTGCTAGCCTATCTTAGCACAAAGCCTGTTTTTACTCACTGTGCCTTTTCTTCTCGATCCCAGATTTTATCGTCCCTTAATGACATGTTTCTGTATTTACGATAATTGATTAATTTCATCAGTCTTGCAGCTTCGATAGATATACTGCCGCTATCATCTGCATAGCAATGGAATAATGGAATGATTCCTCATAATGTGCCTAAAGAGCACTTATTTATAAAGTAATAGTATTGCGTCAAGTACAGACCTGTGCATCCCTGGATTAACTTAGTTTTTATTGGAAATTCATCGTACCCCCATGCTACAAACTGCCTTGAACAATCCCCTGATAAATAGACTTAACCAGCTTAGTGCGGCGTTCCCTTTAATTGCCCAATTTTTGTGCTCATCTCTGCTAAAGAATTTATTTCGGTCAATGGTGTCAATGCAGCCACTTAGATCCTATAATACAAACGCTACAGAGACAAGTCCATGTCAGAAGCAACTAAAACGGTCATTACTAACTTTAACCAGAGCGCCTCTCTGTATTTATACAGTAATATATCATAAATACTTATAACTATTTATCATGTTTTATGCTAATTTTTTTTTTTTGGTGTTTTATTTTGAAGCCCCAGAACTGCTGTAGTATAAGAGCTTTTATTTTTAGAAATGTTCAGTCTGGCACTGATGCTAACTCATTGCATCATTAGCCCAATCTTAATCAGCCCCTAAATTGGGGCAATTCATTAAGAGCTTGTTTTAGGAGTTAAAACTAAATGCCTACTCTTACTTCTATCACAGCTACTTTACATAAATGTACTTATCTTACACTTACTGGTGTGTTTGTGTGGTGTCGTGTGTTACAGGAGGATGATGTTTGAAGGCTTGCTCTTCTCTTCTCAACTCTCCCTCTGACAACACACACTGTTTGCGTAACACACACACCCAACCACACAACACACACTTTAAAAAAAGGCTCACCACACGACCTTTCCAGTCAGGCGCCAGGGTGTGCTCATCCTCCTTCGTTGACGAAACAGAGCTTGTGCTTTGCTTCCCCTCCTGCCTGCGCTGACTCACTGCCTGCCTCCTGCGGACAAACCTCACACTGAAATGCCCATTTTATTATTATATTATAACCATAATCAAAACTCTTATCACAGGACCATCTTAGTCTCTGCGGGACAGCCCGGTGCCTAGTGATTTATTCCTTCTAATATTAATAACTCATTTAATGATAAATCATTTTAATTTTATTTTATATATTGTTACAATTCAATAATTCTTATTCAATATAGCTTAAAATATCGTCTACATTATTATATATTAATCGTTTTATATATTCCATGTCATTTACTTTTTTACATTAAAAGATTAATCCCTATATGCTATTTATTTGTTTTCTTAACTTTATCTATAAATTATAATACTTTCTCTATTAATATAATTAATAGCCATCCACAACCTTTCCCCTTCCATTATCCTGCTCCGATACTCCTCCACATTGCCACCCCTTCCGTTCCCTCAGGATCTGCCTCCTCTGTTCCCCCCTCCTCTGTCCCTCCGCCCCGCCTCGTCACCATGGCGGGGGAGCCCACGGCTTTCGTTGCTCTGCCCCCCCCGACTCTGGACTCACTCCCACCGGACCTCAGGAACCTGGACTCTCTCCACTCTTCAAATCAAGACTAAAAACTCACCTATTCAGATTGCCAATACCGCCACTTAACTGCTCCGTTACATTGCCTTTTCTTTCTCTTTGTTCTCTTTCCTGCTTTTTTTTTTATATTTGTACGGTGTCCTTGAGCTGCCCAGAGAGGCGCCCTTTAAATAAAATGTTATTATTTATTATTCCCATTTAATTCTATCCCCTTTTATTCAACTCCTTTTTTTTTTTTTTTTCTTTCTTTTTTTTTTTTTTTTCTTTTTTTCTCTCTCAGCAGGAGCGATCCAGACTACGACTTCCATTCCACCCGACTGCTCCTCTCGAGCCCTCCCTCCTCTTCCTCACCCCTCTCTCACTGCCTCCCGCCCTGCCGAGAAGAGACGCCGCAGCCGTTGCAGCGTGACTTCTGTCTCTGCTCTTTCTCTCTCTCGTCTGTCTTCTTCTCTCTCTCAGCTCTGTCCTGTCTGACTGTCTGCTGTTCTGAACCACACCGGGGCAACAAACTCTGAGGCCTCCTCGTTTTTGGATTTGACCCCCCGCCCCTCCAGAGGTTAGGCCCCGGGCGCCCGGCTACGATGACCTCTCCGCGCTCTCATTTCGGGTCCTTTGGACGAGGCCGCTGGGGGCCTCCCTCTCTCCCCCAGCAACGGGCCAACGCCCCCCTCCCG